CTCTCCACCCAACCCACCAAACGTCACCTTCTTCAACCCAAAATCAATCTCAACACTCTTCGAAACTCTTCATCTTCCATAACAGAGACATCCTAAAACCTTACCCTTCTCAATCTTGATCAAATCTTAACCACATTATGGCAACCATTGGAGATTTAAGCTCACAACTGAATAGAGAACAACTCACACCGATCAATCTTACCAAACTAGCCACAGGTGTCAAGGCAGGAGGCAGTTTTTACCCCAATGGATTTCTCAAGATGGCCAAGAACTCGGAGTTGTCTCAGAAAATCATTCGTGCAATTCAAAACAGTGGTCTAATGAGGTTATGTTCTTACTCTTATTCTGGATACTATGATGAAGATGTAGCAGATTTTTATGCCAACGCCAAAGTGAATAGTTGGACCATTGAGTCCACTGTAAATGGAACTCTCATCTCCATGTCTACTCCAGAACAACCATTGTTGGATTTAGACGTGCATGCATATGACCATACCGAGGTCTGGGCAGAGATTCGAAATGAAAATGCATCTATTGAGCCTGACCTTTCTGGCCATAAATCTGATTTAAAGACAGAATATCAAATGTTGATCAGCATTATCTACAAATGTGTTCTATGCAAGTTAAATATTATGGAGGACATATCTCCTACAAGGATAGGTTATTTGCATGCTTTAATATATGGGGTTAGGGCAGACTAGAACAAGTTGATATTAAGCAGAATTGCTCACTTTGTAAAAGGTGCAAAAATTAAGAATGGGAGATTCAGTCGAGTTCTGGGCTTTGGTTTGCTAATAGGAGAAATAGTGAAGAAAAAAAGGATTGACTATGAGAGTGAGGAAGCCTTTTGGGAACAACCGGATTATCTATAAAGATCATGAAATTTTAACTGAGTCCAACCCCAAAAGAAAAAGAAAAACCAGAATGATACCAGCCAGAAAAAGATTGGCAAAAGACATCATTAGTGGAAATCTTCAAGCCTCATCCCAATCTCATAACACTGAAAATTCAAGCCACAATCCTACTTTAAGCCACAACCCGAATCCAAGCCACACTCATACCTCAAGCCACAACCACAATCCAAGCCACACTCATACATCTAGCTACGACCACAACCTAAGCCAAACTCACACCTCAAGGCTTAACCAAAATTCCAACCAAAATAATGTCCCCAACCTCATAAACCCAACCTATCGGGTAGAATCCATGGAGGATGTTCAAAGTGAGATAATGTGTCAATTTGATGGGTTAGATTCGCTTCTAGTGAGTGAATACCAAAGAGTATTGAATTTGAGACAATGGAGACTTGATACATATCAAGAGTTGATGTCACGTGGGCCTAGTATGGAGAATGAGGAAATTTTTGCTTTAAATTGGATTGACTGCCATGTTGTTGCTCAAGCCACAAGAATCTCAGTTATTAATGCTGCATTTCTAGCCAAACTGAAAGCAAAAATGGCCGAGAATGTTCAAGTAAATACAGTCTAAGAGAATCTGGGAACTAGAGATGAATTTTTAAATGATGAAGACTTTGGTCAAGGTTGCAAAAAACGTTAGGCGCCTCCTAGACGTCGATTTTATTTTATTTTTTTTTAATTTCTTTTTTTAATTTTTTTAAAAATAAAAAATAATAATAATTAAAAATTATGAAATTCACTAATAAAACATAATGTTCCTCTAGCTTTTTCTTACAAATTATTTACATAAGTGGTTGTAAAATCGTTTTGAATATTGTTGAAACCATCTAAATACATAAAAATTTAAAATCAAGAGCAAAAGAAGCATTTTTTGGAGAAATTAGAGGGTCAAATCGTCTTTGGAGTAAAATTTTAGTGTATAGATCTTGAAAAAATACGCGATTTGAAAAAAAAAATTGTCCAAAACGAAAAACCGAGTCAAAAGTTATGCATTCCCGAACTTTTAACACTTTAAAACTAAAAAAATTTAAAAAAATAAAATAAAAAACGGCCGAACAGGCCGGAGGAGACCGATTCCGGCCTTCCTCGCGGCGGCCGCCTAGCGCCTATGCGCGATTTTTGCAACCATGACTTTGATAGAACTCTTGAACTATCTAGACAAGTCCCGAATCCGGAAGCTGCTGGTGGTTCACATTCTCAGTTTTTTTTTATCATAATATGGTGAGGCCAACTTTTATGGACATTGGTCTTTATGATGTGAGTATATTGAATCAGATTGAAATAAGCAATGAAAACCAAGCCATGCAAGTCAGTCACCATGCTGAGGAAGCACAGTCACAACATCTAGAAAGTGGTCAAAATGATATGTTTGTATTGGAGGATCACACACCGGAAAGAGCAAGAGATGTGCAAGAAAATCAAGCACAATCTCACTTGCTTGGAGATAATTCTGCTCAAGAAGGAGCAAGACCTCAATCCACAAACCAAGAAGAGCAAAACCTTGATGCTACTGCCTCGAATGATCACTTAAAGAAACTGGAACATATTGTGTTTGGGCTAGTGGACAGGATGGAAGGACTGATCCAAGGGATATACACTCATGTGGATCATATTGTCAATGCTCAAACTAAAAAGATTGAAGAATCATTTGTTGAAAATCAAAGAAGTCAACACTGTTTTCATCGCGAAAATTTTTATGGAGTGAAAATTGGCTATTTTGGATTTTCTTAAAACCAAATTTATAAAATAAATTTTGGGTTGTCACAGAAAGAGACAGCCAGGAGGATGATGCTACTGAGGTAGATAGTCAAGAAGATGATGGTGCTGAAGAAGGCAGCCAAGGGGATGATAACAATCAAGAGGAGTCTCAGGAAGAAGGAGGTGAAACTGATGTTTCAATATCACCGACAACTTTTTAGCAAAAAATGGGGAGAAAGACTTGATGGTGTTTCTTTTGATTTATGCAAATCAAAGAAGTTTTTTTTTTTTTTTTTTTTTTTTTTTTTTTTTTTTTTTTTGGCTTGGTCTTTTTGCTGTTAAGTGTTGACTGCAGTTACCTCTGTAGATTTCTTTTTGTCTGTTCTTATTTAAATCTACATGCTGAAAATCTGCATATTATTAGTCGTTTTCTTGTTTCTCATTGGGTAGCTGCATTCTGACCTTTATGTTAGTTATTCAAAAAAAAGGGGGGTAATAGCAAGACAAAGTCCTACAGAGTGTCGACAAAGGGGGAGCTGATAAGAAATCAAACAAGATAAGTGATCAAGGTTTTTGCAAAAATTTGACCAAGGGGGAGAATGTTGATTCAAAGATTAACTAGTCAAATTTGTATGCATAAAGGAGTACCAGATGATCAAGGATTGAAGGCATGAAATATCTCTAAACCTACTCAAACTAGGATTAAGCACTAAATACTACTCCTACGCGAATATGAAGAAATCTGGTTATATAAAGACTCCAGCATCTCTAATAAGGTTCACGTATTCGACATGCAATCTTGTGAGGTCTGAGAGAACTTTGAGAGTAGAATACTAAATTCTCCTAGAAAGTAGTACATGTGTTTAGGTTGCAATAGTGCGATAGGAAATATCATTCTATTGTGTAATTTTTGTTTCCAAACATTGTACTTTGAATACTAAGCTTTTAGTGAATTTAGGCACATTCTCAAGTTGAGAAGTGCCTCGCAAATTAGGGTTATTACCTGAACTGCGTCAAACTATCTGTGTTACAACTTCTGTACAAAAAATGATAGAGAAACATAGAGAAGCCTTAGCAAGAAAGGCTTTAAAATTAAACCAGAAAATGACATATAGACAATAATTTACTCCCTGATTAACGAAGATAGCAAAACAGCACCACTTTCCACCCTAAAGTTCTCATTGATCCAGCAACTCCGGCTGCAAAATCTCGAATCAATCCGGAGCCTAGACCCGACAACCCTTCTCCTAATCGATGAGGACGCCGACTTCACCTCCAACAACCTCGACTGCACGGGGTAAACAACTAAACAGAATTATCAATTTTAACTACCTATGGATTCCGTACGACACGGTGGTCACATTCCATCCCAGATCGTGGCAGCAAGCAACGACAATGGTACAAGGCCAACATCTGCTGGAAAGTGGAGAACGTGATAACTTAGGAAGGCGTCTAGAGAGTGGAGCGGTTGGAGCCCAAAATCCGTTCGCCGATGAAGACATTTTTCAAGTGAAGAACATGCTGGACGAGCACACCACCAGCTGGGGACTCAAGAGAGAAGACGAGGAAGTTGTGCTCACCTGGAAAGGCCTCGTGTTTGCCACTAAACTTGTAAAACAGTTCCATATAAGCATATTATTACCAGTAAGTTGTAGGAGACCTATGAAAAGTTCTAGATGGAAAAAAAATACTATGTAATTGGTAAGTGGATTGAAATGGATGTTATGAAAGATTAGGGTGCGGCATGAAGAATCCGTTATAATTCATGGTGCGGGATGATACTTTAGCCTTAATATTTCAATTAGGAATAAGGTTCAAATTGGCCATTGAACATAATCTGAAAATGCAATTAGGTCACTGAACACTCCAAAAACGTGCAATTAGACCACTGAACACTCCAAATGTATGCAATTTCACAATATAGCAGGTTATCATCAATTTTAGCAGGTTAACTGCTTACGTGGCAGCTGAGTTGACATTTTTAATAATTTTTAATAATAAATTTAAAAAATTGAAAAAATTAAATAAAAAATAAAAAATAAATAAAACGACGAGGTGGCCGCCGGCCACCCCCTTCCCCCCTCCTCCCTCCTTCATCTCCGCCGGAGACGAAGGACGATGGGGGAGGGGGTGGTCCGCGTAACCCGTTTTTTTTTTTATTATTAAAATTATTTAAAAATTATGAAAATTACCAACTCAGCTGCCACGTAAGTAAGTAATTTGCTAAAATTGATGGTAACCTACTATCAGGTGAAATTGCATACATTTGGAGTGTTTAATGACTTAATTGTACTTTTTTTTGTTTAGTTGTCTAATTATATTTTCAGGTTACGTTTGAAGATTTCAATTATAAGACTTCAGTTTAAGCAAGAATTATCCAGATTTCAATCATTTCCAAGATAAAGAGAAGCATCATTGAAAACACTGCTTCACTTATTGCCTGTCAGCCAGAGAAAAATGGAGAACTTCCCGCAATCGTCCGCGCCACCGCTAGATTACCGCAAATTGTCCCACAAAATCACCGAAATCGCCGCCGGCGAAGCTCACACTCTCGTTCTCACTGGTAACTGGTTTCAATCCTTGTGACTATCAACTCTGTTATATCTGTTCTACCTTAATCAGTATTGTTAGTGGATCAAGTTTTTCTTTTTGTTTCTTTGCAGCGGATGGGAGGGTTTATTCTTGGGGTAGAGGAATGTTTGGCCGGCTCGGCACCGGATCGGAGTTCGACCAGCTATTTCCGGTCAGAGTTGAATTTGGGTCTGCACCGGTTAAAATTGTGGCTATTGCCGCTGGGGCTTATCACAGTCTCGCGCTTGCAGGTTCACCATTATCTTTTTATACTGTTTATTCTCCTTATTTATAGACTATAATTAAATAACTAGTCCTTAGTAGCCGTGAACTCTCATCCTTAAGAGCGGTTTGGAGTTCAGAAAAATTAATATGACCAGCATTTTGTCTCTTAATTAGGCCGGCCTGGTGCGAACCGGGATTAGTCTGAGTATGATACGAGCTTTAAAGTTCATGACGTGGCAACCATTAATAAGTTATTTTCATTTGGTGAGTTGAAGGAAAATTTCTACATTAAAAGTTTAAGTAAGTGAATTGAAGTTGGAGTAGAATTAGGGAGTCCAAGTAGCATTTTCCCACTTTTCAGTCTCACTAAATTGATGAGTTCCAAATGGGAATTTAAAAGATATATGCCTTGTTAATCAGTTCATTAACTATTATTGTTTTCTACCATGTGAAATTATTGACTTATGTACAGGGAAGACTATTCTTTATCAATGACTTGTTGTATTTTGCTGTTATGTGAAATTTATGTTCTATCTAATGGCAATAATGGAGAAAAAACTGTGTTGTTTTTACCTTTTAACAGTGTAATGTACATCCAGTTAATGCATTAGCACTGTATTCTTTTGAAGTACATTAATAAACTTACCAAATTGTGAATTTTTTCTTTGCAGCTATATTCTTTGGATTGTCTTGTGCACACCCCCTTTCCCCTTTTTATATTCTGTCAGATTGATTGAAGTATGACTTTATGTTTATCATTTTTTTTTACACATATAAACTCGATGAGATATGAAAATGTTGAGTTCTTTATTTCCCAAGAGACAATCATGCTGTAAATAAATATGTAGCAAAATGTTTTCTCAAATTATGTGGGATTTAAATCAATAGACTAGCATTAATACTTTTAACTTCTGTATTCCCTTTTCATTTGTGTGATTGCAGATGATGGATCAGTTTGGGGCTGGGGTTACAATGTCTGTATCCTTTGAAGAAATCGTTTTACATTTTAAACATTTGTCCAATACCATCACCGGCATTTACTTCAAAAATTTGAATTTCCATTGTTTATTCATTTTTTATCCTTGACTGCAAAATGGATGGCCAACTTGGTGGAAATGGAGAAAATTATTTAGCTCCACATTTACTGGATGGATTCCTTGGGCTGGGTTCCCCTAATACAGCAAGAGAGGACTCAGAAAGGAAGACACTGATGGTAGGTTTTTCTCATGATTGACCCTAACAAGAACTAGGAGTAGATGAATAGTCAGTTTCTCTTTTTTTTTTACTTTATTGGTCCTTAATAAAAAGTTGACCCTAACTAGCTTGGTTAGCGTGAGTGACCATGCACTCTCACTCCTTAAGAGAGGTCGGGACTTCAAACCCCCTCTTGTATGGAAAAACCAATTTGGCCAATGGCCAGCACTTTGCCCCTTAACTGGGCCGGCCCAGCGTGAACGTGGATTAGTCTGAGTATGGTATGAGCTTAAAGGTGTCTCCTATAGTTAGGGCCTACTTAGGACACCTCGTGGTCTAAACTAAAAGAAAATAAAAAGTTGACCCTTATATTTATTTCCTGCTCAGATTTCCTCGGTCAAAGCTGGTGCAATGATGTCTGTGGCAATTGACAGTCTTGGGGGTCTATGGATTTGGGGCAATTGCCCTCAGCCACAACAAGATAAGTCTACCGAGGCTGAATTCTCTCTCACCTGCACTTTTAATCCAGTACCTGTCTGGAACTTTCATGGACACACTGTTGTTAAGGTGGCATGTGGAAATGAGCATGTAGTGGCATTAGTGACTATTGGAGAAACATATAAAGGGAATGATCTTGTCTGCTATTCTTGGGGTGGCAATAGCCATGGCCAGTTAGGTTTGGGAGATAGGGAGAGCAGGCTCTTTCCCGAAATCATCGAACCCTTTAATTCAGAATCTCCTTGGACTGTATATGAGGTAGCATGCGGGTCTTTCCACACAGCTTTAATAGCACAGAAAAGCCCGAGTGACATGTTAGAAAGTGTATGCTGGACATTTGGCCTCGGCGAGAATGGCCAATTAGGTCACGGCACTACCCAAAGTTATTTTTCCCCTGAACCCGTGAAAGAGTTGCCAAAAACTGCATTTCTCATTTCTGTTGACTGCGGCTTATTTCACACCAGCGTTGTCTCATCAGCTGGAGATGTATGGTCATGGGGAATGGAAAGAGGCCTGGGCCTGTGCCCTGATGCAAGGTTTATCGGAACTGAAACGGGTGATGCAATATTGCCCTTGTCGATTCCTTGTAATGGGCATTATGGGCCTAAATTTCCAGAGCCTGTTCAAGTTGTCTGTGGTGCAGCCCATACTGTTCTCCTTGCAGATTCGGGATACAAGCTTTGGTCTTGGGGCAGGGGACGCAGCGGGGTCCTTGGAACTGGGAAAATAACTGATTCTTTCGCTCCAACTGTTGCGATGTGGCCACCTATAGACGAGGATTCCAATGAGGAGGTTTTAGACAATAATGATAAAAACGAAAAAACTGAAGAAAAGAAACCTAAGGACATTGTTGAAATGGAGAAGAAGTTATTGGACGCGATGGGGGAGATAAATCAACTTCAATCCAAACTTTCTGTGATGGAAAGGTATGCCGGCATCCTCCACAGCTCTATCTTCGGGAGACCTTTTCAAGAGCAAGACATTCCCGCCTCATTGCAGAGCGGTGGCACATTTGACATCGCAAAGGAGTGGGAAAACATGTTGGAGTCATCAGATCGTGGCAAGCTCGTGAGGTTAGAGATGTTTTACCGCAACATGCTTGCTGGTGTCAAGGATAACGTTTTGAAGAAACGGATCAAGGAGATCGTTGTAGACTGCCTTGGCTCCTCTCGGTAAAGGAATGACGCAATATGTTTGGCTACAATCTTTAAGGTACACACCATCACCTTGTTATTTTCTTTGCTTACCTTTTTGATGATTGCATCCAAAGTCCCTCCATGCATGCATTTCTTCAGTTCTCCAAGCAATATTAGTTTTTGTATGTATACTCAAATATTGTTTGACCAATATAATCAAGCAGTAGTGAGTTATATTGCCTTGTAAATGCGGATCACTACATAATTATTGATGATTTAGTGTGGTGGTGAGATAAAGATGATGTTGAGTTGAGCTGTGTTGGGTGGAGGCCAATAAAAGGCCAAGTCCAGCAATTTTAGGATGTTTGGTTGGAACTTGGAAGAAGGGAATTAAGGGGGAAAGGAATTGTAGTTCCGTTGAAAAATGTGAGTTCAAATTAAATTGTTTGGTAGGTATGAATATAATGATGGTGAATTGAGAGAGAAGAAGTGAATAAAGACTAAAATGCCTTTGTATGATACTCCCCCCGTCCCATTTTATGTGTATGGTTCGGTTAATGAGGCTTGACTGAAGTATTTTTTAATTCAATTTTTCATAATATTAAGTTTAGTATTAGTATACAAAATTTATATATTTAGAAACTATACAAAAAGTACTATTAAACATTTAAAAAAAATGTAAAAATAAGTAAAAAAAATAATAAAGAAAATAAACAAAAAAAGAAAGAGTTAGTTTGACTAATGAATAGTAAGTAAGACAGATAAAATGGGACAGAGGGAGTAATAATAACAATGGCAAAATAGTAATTTATCTTGAAATTACAATTCTATGGTTAGAGGGAATTGCAATTCGGTGTAATTTCACGAAATTGCAATTTCCTCCAACCAAATCGGGGAATTGTAATTCAATGGAATTTGGTAGGAATGGAATTACAATTCTATCCTACCAAACACCCCCTTAGTGGCTAGGGTGATTGTTTGGCAGTGGTTGGTGAAGAGCTAAGTCCAGCACTCTGTCTCTTGAAAATGTGGTGGTATATAAGAAAATAAAGTTGCGACTTCACTGTGAGATATAATTTTTGGCGTTGTGGAACTTGTGGTAAGCGCATTGATGATGCTTTTATTATGTTTTTTTTTTATCAGACCACGAGGTGTCCTGAGCCGGCCCTAACTGTTCCCGTACCATACTTTTATGATGTTAATTGGTCATATAAATGTAATCAAGCTTTGGCTGCAACCAACTCTGTTATACTGATTTCATATAAAGAGAAGATACATCAAATTTAGATCAAATAATTCTCATCCCAACACAAATTAGATGATTGAATTGAAAGAAAGATGATAGTGATCTGATCGAGTGTCCAATATAATGTGACAATCAATGGTAACGCAAAAAACATATGTGATAGTGGCAAAAACTCAAAGGCAACCAACAATGGAGAAGGTGACATCTAATACCATGCAAGACAATAAAATGGGGTGAGTTTTACTACATGTACTCTCTAAATTTTACTTCCTGATGTGACGGACACTGATAAGTTTTTTTTTTTTTTTTTTTTAATTTTTATTTTTTAATTTTTAATGTGGGTCTCAATAAAAGTGTTTACGTTAAGATTTTGTGTATGTGAAAGTAAAAGTTGGGAATAGGAAATGATACATATTGTATTTTCCTAAAATGGCAGAGAAGCTCGTTGCATTGTTGTGCTATTCATATCACTGATATCAGAATGGAATAACAAATGAATAAAAATAACTTTTTGTTTAGTTTTTTTTTTTAATTAATTAAAGTATAACTATGCTTTTTGTCGAAAGAGTAGAATTTGAAAGTACATATCGTAGAACTCTTATATATATATATATATATATATATATATATATATATATAGAGAGAGAGAGAGAGAGAGAGGGATGCACTCAGGTGCGAATAAGTGCCCAGGAAGGAATATTCGAACAAATCAGCGTGCGATATGTGTCCAGATTTAATAGCTTAAAAAAATGCGGTGGCATTTTCGTAACTAATTGAACATCGAAGTGCAAGTAAAATCACTTACAAGTGCACCTACTTTCACCTACAAGTTCATGTAATTTTGCCTTGTTAGCATTCACTTCCCGCAAACATTCATGCACCTGAGTGTGTTTATAACTATAGGTGTAACTATTTATAACTATAGGTGCAACTACTTATAACTATAGGTGCACCTACTTTCACCTATAAGTGCATGTAATTTTGCCTTGTTAACATTCATTGATCTGAGTTTAGCGGGTAGTAATACCCCTGAAAACCACCTGTAAACATTCATGCACCTAAGTGCAACTATTTATAACTATCTGTGCAACTACTTAGAACTATCTGTGCAACTACTTATAACTATTGGTGCACTTAGTATTGATGCTCAGTGTAAATTTTTACTTGCACCTATAATACATTTTACTTGCACTTCAATATTAAATTATTTACGAAAATACCACCGCGCTTTTTTTAAAAACTCAGTGTTTCTTACCAATTAGATCTGGACACGTAGACGGACAGAATCTATTCTTATTTCACTCTTGGGCGAAGCATTCGCACCTGAGTGCGATTATATATATATATATATATATATATATATATATATATATATATATATAATGTGTATGATCCCGAAAGTACGTCCAGGTGCACAGTTGTTTACATAATTCAATACATTAGTAATCAACAGTGCAGCCCTACAGGTTCATTTTCAAATTCAATGGGCATAAAACATAAATATATAAACATTACAATATGTCTTCAATTGTGCAGTATCAATCCTCGTTCTTCTTGCTGCTTCTTCGCCTTTCTCAGCTGCCGTTTCCAAAAATTTGTTAATTCGATTCCTTAAGCTAAGGATGCTTCCTGCTATCAGCGGATAATCATATGTGAGATTGATTCTTAAACTGTAGTAGTTATCGAAAGTATCAAGGGTATTTTCTCCTTCGATTAACCCGCATCTCTACCATCTAATGCACTGAACGGTGGTCATCCCATCTGCAAGGGAGATTTCATTTTGTCTTTCGTAATATTGAATAATATGCCTTTACGCCTTTCGTCCGAGTCATTTCAGATACTCTTTCGGTAGGATTAAAATTGTTCACTTCGGTTTGTAACTCTTGTCTCTCATATAATTAATTGGTGATAAATTGATCATAATTAATAAATACAAAATACAGTGACACTGAATAGGTGTTAAGTCATTTAATTTTGTGTAGCATTTTACGTATGAACACTTTGCATTTCATAATCATTTTTATCAATTTTAGATGAAAAAGTGACTAAATACAGTAGTGTTCTGAAAATTAGAAATCAAAGGCCTATTAGCTCAGTTGGTTAGAGCATTGTGTTAATAATGTGAAGGTTACAGGTTCGAGACTTGTATAGGCCAAATTTTTCAGCCACCAACCCTTTGCATGTAATATCCGTTGAGTTTAATATGGTAACTTTGAGTTAAAGTGTTCCAACATTAGTTTGACAAATATTTTATTCTAAGGAATTTGAAGTACTAAAATAAACTAAACACAACGCAGCACCAACACTGAAAATTTTCATTACTAAACTCAAAAGAATTACAATTATATTACAATTCAATGGGCATAAAGCATAAATATATAAACATTTCAACATGTCTTCAATTGTGTAGCATCAATCCTCGTCTTCTTGCTGCTTCTTCGCCTTTCTCAGCTGCCGTGTCCAAAAATTTGTTAATTCGATTCCTTGAGCTAAGGATGCTTCCTGCTATCAGCGAATGATCATTTGTGAGATTGATTCTTAAACTGTGATAGTTATCGAAAGCGTCAAGGGTATTTTCTCCTTCGATTAACTCGCATCTCTACCATATAACGCACTGAGCGGTGGTCATCCCATTTGCAAGGGAGATTCCATTTTGTCCTTCGTAATATTGAATAATATGCCCTTAGAGCGTCATGCTAATAACGCGAAGGTCACAGGTTCAAGACCTGTATGGGCAAAAAATTTTTAGCCACCAACTCTTTGCATGTAATATCCATTTTTAAAATGCGCCACGTGAGCTGCTGACTTTAATATGGTAACATTGAGTTAAAGTGTTCCAACTTTAGTTTGACAAATAGTTTATTCTAAGGAATTTGAAGTACTAAAATAAACTAATATCCATTTTTAAAATGCACCACGTGAGCTGGTGACTTTAATATGGTAACTTGGAGTTAAAGTGTTCCAACTTTAGTTTGACAAATAGTTTATTCTAAGGAGTTTGAAGTACTAAAATAAACTAAACACAACGCAGCACCAACACTGAAAATTTTCATTAATAATCTCAAAAGACTTACAATTATATTACAATTAAATGAAATATATAAACATTACAACATGTCTTCAATTGTGCAGCATCAATCCTCGTTCTTCTTGCTGCTTTTTCGCCTTTCTCAGCTGCCGTGTCCAAAAATTTGTTAATTCGATTCCTTGAGCTAAGAATGCTTCCTGCTATCAGCGAATGATCATATGTGAGATTGATTCTTAAATTGTCGTATTTATCGAAAGCGTCAAGGGTATTTTCTCCTTCGATTAACTCGCATCTCTACCATCTAAGGCACTGAGCGGTGGTCATCCCATCTGCAAGGGAGATTCCATTTTGTCTTTCGTAATATTGAATAATATGCCCTTACGTCTTTCGTTCGAGTCTTTCAAGATACTCTTTCGGTGGGATTAAAATTTTTCTCTTCGGTTTGTAACCCTTGTCTCTCATATAACTAATTGGTGATAAATTGATCATAATTAATAAATACAAAATACAGTGACACTGAATATGTGTTAAGTCATTTAATTTTGTGTAGCATTTTACGTATGGACACTTGGCATTTCATAGCCATTTTTACCAATTTTAGACGAAAAAGTGACTAAATATAGTAGTGTTCTGAAAAATGGAAATCAAAGGCCTATTAGCTTAGTTGGTTAGGGTGTCGTGCTAATAACGCGAAGGTCACAGGTTCGAGACCTGTATAGGCTAAAATTTTTAGCCACCAACTAATATCCATTTTTAAAATGCACCACGTGAGCTGGTGACTTTAATATGGTAACTTTGAGTTAAATTGTTCCAACTTTAGTTTGACAAATAGTTTATTCTAAGGAATTTGAAGTACTAAAATAAACTTATATCCATTTTTAAAATGCACCACGTGTGCTGGTGACTTTAATATGGTAACTTTGAGTTAAAGTGTTCCAACTTTAGTTTGACAAATAGTTTATTCTAATGAATTTAAAGTACTAAAATAAACTGAACACAACGTACCACCAACACTGAAAATTT